GTTTTTTGGTGATTCAATCTACAAAAGTACCTCACTTAGGCTACTATTGTGGTGCCTGTCAATAGAGTTTAGCCTAATTTATAAAGATACAAAGAAAGAGCAGAAAAAGCCAGGAATCTTTCAGAATAAAAATAACTCTAATTACAAGTGCAAGGACCACCCTGACCACACCGCGGAGCCGGAGGAAAGGGAAGCCCCTGGGCGCGTCGGGAAGCGGGCGGGCAGTACGATTAAGGTTCCCAGACAGACGGGAAAGGCAAACGTGGGGGGCAGGGAAGGAAGTACCAGCAGAAAGGGGGACAGGGCGCACCCTGGCAGGTGCGGCTCAAGGGACTGAGTGCCAGCCTACAAACTGAAAGGTCACTGGTTCAATACCTGGCCAGGGCACGTGCCCGAGTTGCAGGCGAAGTCCCCAGTTGGGGGCTCATGAGAAGCAACCACACACTGATGTTTCCCTCCCTCTCTTTCTCCCCCCTCCCCCTTTCTAAAAATCAGTAAAATATTTTTTAAAAAAAGAAAGAAAGGTGGAGAGGACAGAAGACGCTGTGAGTGACAAACCACGGCAGCACAGAAAAAGACTTAAACGTCCGTGTTAAATGTCCATGTTAGGAAGTTTGCATAACACGTGAACTAAGGCTGGCCCGAGCGGGAGGACGTGGAGGGCCTGGAAGACGAGGCGGAGGGGTGAGAAGGCTACGACAGGTCACAGGAGGCCACCTGAACGGAGGGCGGGCAAACGGAAACCGTGTCCGGCAGAAGAACGCACCTAGCAAGACAAAGGATGCAAGAAAGCAAGAAGCTAAGTGAGGTGCCGTGTGGCGAGGACCTGACTGCCACTTCTGACTTCCAAGGGGGAGGAAGGGGACACGAGCCACAGAGCAGCCTCTGGAAACTGGGAAGGACAGGCAGGGGCGTTCTCCTTCCAGCGATGGCCACACCTTGATTTTAGCCCAGGGAGACCCACTGGGTACGTGTGACTTCAAGGGCTACAAAATAATAAATCTTTGTGGTTTCGAGAAGGAAAGAAGGGAGGGAGGGAGGGAGCGAAGGAGAGAGGGAGGGAAGGGGAGGACAGGCAAATTTGGGTCTCTCCCTCCAGAGAGATGACGCTGAGGCTGGAGCCATGGTGGTGTTGCTGGGAGAGAAAGGGACAGGAAGGCAGTGTCTGTCGGGAACACAGACGGCGCAGGGGGTTCCAGGACAGGGACCGCACTACTGAGAGCAGGGAAACTGGGGAGAGCGGGTGGGTGAAGAGAGGACAGAACATGTCACGGTTTGTTGAACCCACGGAAAACCCACGGAGGAATGGGACCAGGCAAGGTCACGGCTTGCGGGATGTTACAGGGAGTCATGGAGCCTCTCCCACCACGTGCTCCTATTAGTCAAAATGACAGCTGTCCTCAGGCTGTCAAAGGATCAGAGACGAGTCCTACCCTCCCTGGCAACGGTCACCAGAGCTCTCTCTGTCCCGGAGGGAGAGAGCCTGCTGTCTTCCCTCACACGGCCATCCTCGCCCACGCCGCGCCCACTGCACTGCACCCCACCACTTACGGTCTGCTTCGGTTTCCTCTATGTCATTCACTAACATCGAGAGCGAAAAAGTTGTCCTTGAAAATGTTTCAGTTTTCCACTTTGTGTTTCGCTTACAATTTCAAAATGAAGCACTCTAACCCCAGCATCCAGAGCCCTGCCGCCCCCTCGGCCCCTCTCTGCGGGTCACGTCACTCTGCCTGCGTCCCGTCCCCCCCCCCCCCCCCGCCCCGACCACAAATCCTTCAGGGCTCCGTCGGGAGGAGCGTCCTTCACGGATTCCACTCTCCTCCCCCCACGTCAGGCAGCGCAGCCCCAGGAGGTGTTTTCGGCCGAGAAAGACATCGTCAAGGACAGGAAACATTCCATAAAACCACTCCAGGACCCGAGCGCTAGGGCGGGCCCGGGGACACACAGGGCACACAGGGAACACGCCACTCCAGACTCGAGGCCTGACCGCTGGCCGCTGCGCCAGCTTGAACTCTGGCTCAGCTTCCTCGCCTCACAGGCGGCTTGAGTGAGGGGACCCCACGGCGCACAGGAGCCGTGACACTCGGTCTCTGGACTAGCACCTAACAAAAGAAGGCCCCTACGAAGCCACAAAAGCCTGTTGAAAAACCTCCACTTCCACTTTACTTGTTCACGTTTCTTAATTCAAAGAAATTAATGATAATATTAATATCATTTCTTGATGTTAGCAGTATGTCGACCCCAAACCAAATCATTTTTCATTGTCCATCAAAATCCAATGAACATACCTGATGCCCACCATGTGCCCCCCGACGCTGGGTACTTGCTGCTGAAAGGATTTTCTAGCAATAATGAATCACAGAAACCGCGCAGTCCAAACAAGCAAAGGCGTTCAGCTGACTGAGGGGCCTTTTCTCCAACGATCTTCCTCCTCCCGGGGACCCCGTGGATTCGGCCGTGGACACGCCGCTCGGCCCCACCGGCCACACTCTCTTGTGGTCACTGGCACGCGCAGTGACCGCCGCTGGGGCTCTCCACACGTTCAGGTGAGGCTCCGCGCAGCTCCGCTCTCTCCGGCCCTCCCCGCCGCTCCCCCCACTCCGGACGAACTCCAAGGACGACCACAGAGCCCCCCACCCCTGCCCTTTTTCCTCAATGACGGAAAGCTACAGCAAGGTCAGCGGAAGACTGGGAATTTTCTGTCACACAACTGCCGTCAGAAAAGTGGGAAATGACACCACGCAAAATCGCTGAAGACTTAACACCGTAATTTCTAATTCTGGAAGGAAAAAGGTAATATACTTCATTTTCAGATTACAAGTATTTCCTAACAATTTAAAAGAAAACTACTATGGCCTTAAAACAAAGACAATTAAAATTGAGTTAGTTTTTAGAAATTGAGGAAGTGGTTCTGAATCTCAAATTCTTCTGTAAATCCATGCATAATATTGGCAGGGCAAATTTCACCATTTTGAAAACAGCGATGTAAGAAAAATGAGGAAGTTGGAATGGGGACTGTAGACACTCCAAACGCCTCCTTATTAAATTTCCAGCATTTGCAGAGTCCATCCAAACCTTCGCCTCACACTATCCCGCACCGAGCTTTGAAAATTACAGTGAATGTTCCGGAAAACATAACGTACCAGGCGTGGTGCCCCCGCCCCATGACCCCTCACCCCATCCCGCACTCGCTGCCCTTCCGCTTCCACTACCAGGCAAATAATTCACAGGCTGGCCAGTCCCCTGGAGTCTCGGTCCAGGGGCAGGAGAGCCAGATCAGGTCTCTCTCTAGAATGGGAACTAGGAAATACAACAAGAATTGTTCATTTAGAAACTGAAAGGATGCAACAAGTGCCACCAAGCTGAACTGGGGCCAAAGGGCTCGGCCAGCTGACCATGCACGTGGGCTGACGCAGGGGAGGGGGCACTAGGAATGAGCACAGCGGCCAGCTGGCGGTGGGGACAGAGGCCGCGGCCCGCGGAGGGATGGGAAGTGCCAGGGACAACTGCTGCTGAGGCCCCCGGCGGGGCCAGGAGCCACCCTCCAATGCCCGGTGGCAGAGCTCGGGCTGCGCCGGCTGGCGTGCCCGCGTCTCTGTGCCATGCCCGCGGCCTGGCCAACGTAGCGCCCACTGACGGGAGCGGGCCCTTGCTCTGCGCAGCCAAAAGCAAACCAGCTCGCAGAACGTGCGAGCAGCAAAGAAGCCATTCCTAAATCACTACCGTGAAGTGCTGGGCAGTTCGGTATTTAAGGGACATACAGAACTAAAGCCACCGCCCCACAGAGGAAAAAAGGCTCACACCCAACAGGGACGGGGCACAAGGGAACCCCCTGACGTAATGGGAGGGAAGGGTCTGATCTCGGCAGGTACGGGTTACTCTTTTGTCAACACTGATGGGACTGTACGCCTACCACGGGACCGTTTCACTCTAGGCAAATTATACCTCAATCAAAAAAACTCCCTAAATCTACATCATTCCCTGGAGAAGATTTGAGTTTTTGTTTTGATTTTCAAAACTAGATTGATCTGGGTACATCTCACAAACAATGCAGAGCAGAAACCAGATGCAAAACCACCCCAGTTTCAATTTATATATAGAACAGAAAGAGGTAACATTCTTCCACGGTGTTCAAAGTGAGGAGGGGGCGGGGGAGCGGCTGAAAGGAGAGAGCGGAACTCGTTCCTGGGCTGATCTGTTGCGGTTCTTGATCTTCCTTCAATCTGACGTTTCCGTCAGGGGGTCTGTTCGTGACTGAAGGGTTTCCTGTGTACACATTACACCTCAGCAGTAACCCAGAAGAGGCGGGAAGGGAGAGACTACCCTAGAGTGGTCTACAAGGGACCAGACGTGGGTTTGTTTTGGTCTCCAGCTAGTGAAATGCTTATTTTGAACCAAACCGTTAAGGTAAATAACAAAGAAAATTAAGACTTTTGGGACCCCATTATTGGAATTCTAGTATGACTCATGATTTTGATATTAGGGGAATAAACTAATTCAGCAGAGTCGTGAGACTAATGTAAACTGAAACTCCCCCCCGCCCCCGGCCCAGTGCTCGGTTCCAGGGAAGGTGGATTGGCCCATGACCAGGGGGCTCTTCCACAGGGGCAGCGGGGGCGGGGCGGGGGGGCGGGGGGCAGGAACCTGCTCTCCACATCCTTGTTCTCCTTTAACAAACAAAAAATCAGCAAATCCAGAGGAAGACGTGTTTACTCACAATCCCACTTCCGTGTTTTCAAAGGGAGAATGAACTCAAATTCACACATTACCTTGAGGTGCATTTTTAAAAAACAAAAGAGCAGATTTTGATTTCCAAAGACTTAAAGTTTAAAAACATTTCACAAATTCTACATCCAGTACATAAGCATAAAAAAAAAAGGTAAGTACAAGTGGAATAATGGAGACAAACAACAAAATAAACATGAGTTTATAGAGCATCAAATCCAAATACTTAAAAAACCTAAGAAGCCAAAGAGTAAAATGCAAAGTGAAGTACTTACAGCCATAATTAACTCAAAGGGGTGTTTATACACCCTCACCGGGGACTGGTATTTTTGCACCATGATTGTAATATAATAGCAATCCTGTCACACCTGCAAAATACAAACATATGTGACAAATAACCACGATGGGGAAACAAGTAAGCCTGCATTTACACATCATACTACAGTCTAAGGGTAGAAAGGAACCTCGACGGGTCATAATTCTACGCACACAAAAAACAAAAGACAACCTGCAGCAAGGGCAGGGGGAGGTAGGACAGTAAGAGAAGGGAGGACTCCTGGGGGAAAGAGGCGCGAGGCCCGAGGCCCCAGGCCTCCCTGCCGCGTCCACCTCGCCGGCCTCTCCCAGCGCGACCCTGGGTTACAGTCCCTGCCAGCAGTGACATGTCAAGGTCCGATTATTCTGATAACTGATACAATTGGTTCTTGAATGATTTTCTCTTCAACAACTTCTACCAAAAGTCAAGGAGAAATGGTGGCACTTTTAAGATATTAAGTGCGGGGCCACAGAGAAATTTAAAAGTGGGGAGCAAAATGAAAAACCAAGGAGGAAAAATTCCATTGTTATCTCAAATTACGGAATACTCCTCAAAAGCTCGCTTCAAAGGAAACGTGCCAATCCCACTTTCGAGCTGCACAGAGCACAAGGTCAGGGACCTGCCTTCAAACAGAAACACCCGAACTCCGGCCAGAGGCTCCCCGGAGGCGCTGGCCTCAAACAGCGCAATCAATGACATGCTGTCCCGGCCTCACGTGCCCTAGGAGTCACGCTCCTATCCCAGCCTATGGGTGTTTTTCTGAAAACACACTTTTATCTGGGTCCTCGGCTGGAACTTTTACTTTCCTGTGTAAAAGGGAGGAAGAAAAATGCAGCCACAGAGCCTACCTGTCCTGCAGGGGATAATCATTAAGAACGTTATTTCACGCTGAGTATAGTGAGAGGAGACTCAAAGTAGAAATGGAATGTCCTCAAGGAGCCCGAAGTCTAGATGCAAAAAAAAAAAAAAAAAAAAAGCAATTACAAAACCAGCCTTTATTTCGGAATGTCAGAACATTCCTCTCTATAGCGTTACATTTAAACAGGTCTGAGCTTTGTCTGAGGCGTCCCTTTAGCAACCCGCTCACAAGGAACAGGTCATCATAGAAAAGGGCACCAGCACTCAGCAAAGTGCTCCGGGTTAACTCTGGGTGACCTCAAGCAAGTAACTCTGTGACTTCGCAGGGACTGAGTTTCACCTCTGTAGAACGAGATCCGGGGTGAGGTAGGCTTCCAGTTCTAAATCCCTGAGACTCAGAGCCACGCTCAGCAGGAAGCGGTCATTACTCTCCATCCCGGGACCAGGAGATCCTGGGGTGCCGGGACCACGTTCCAGTTAGTTGGTGCACAGCAGGAATTCACTAATCTTTTCTAAATTTAACTGGGAAAATTATTTTAGGGTATCTCCTGATGAGGAGGGTGACCATGGATATAAAAGGCGAAGGTGGGGGGATGTAAAAAAACGAGAATGCTCGTTTGGTGAGGCACTGTGACATCCATTCAGGATGCCTGTGCCCGGCAGAACCCCAAGTGGCTACGCTGAAGAACCTGTCAATTCACAAGCTTCTGCACTCCTGCCAGTTCCCAGCTTCGGATGCTCTGGTCCAGAGACAAGTCCTACGTGGGAATCCGGAGTTACCCCGGCCAAGCGGCATTTGGGCCCAGAGCAGCCTCTATGGCATGACAGTTGGTCCTTAAAAATTAGCCAAGGGCCAGACCCAGTGAGTCCATCTCGAGCGGGCTCCAGGGGCGGCCGGGCCCTTGGATCATCGGTCAGCGGGTCCAGCGCAGAGGCTCCGGCGGGCCCCCGGCCCCGGTCGACCTTGAGCCCATCCCTTGGGCTCGGCCCCCAAACCCTGCTGTCCGCAAGAGGGGTCGCGGATGGGAAGACTGGCGGAGTGGGGGCGGGGAGGGGACGACCAGCAGAGCAGGAGCGGCGAGGGGTGAGGGCGGCAGCGGGCCGGGGACGGCCGGAGGGCCGGCTCGGGGCTCCGCACTCGGGCCGAGGGGAGCTGAGGAGCGTTCAGGGGAGCCAAGGGGGCCAGAAGAGCGAGCTGGGAGCGCAGGCGGCCGCGAGAGCCCCGCGCCGCCGGGGGGTCCGCGCCGGGGGCGCTCTGGGAGCCCGCCGCGGCGACGCGCGCCTACCTCTATCAAAAGAGCCGGGCTCGGGACGCGGGGCGTCGGGAGGCGATCATCCCGGAGGCTCCGCGGTGCCGTCGCCGTCGCACTGCTCGCTGCTGCTGCTCTGCCACCGGTTCCGGAGAGTGGGCGGGGGAGGGGGCGGGAGCGGGAGGGGCGCGGCGAGGCTCCAGTGGTTGTTACGGGTGACGGGGGGCGGAGCCGAGCGGCCGGCAGCCGAACGCGTGCGCGAACGCGGCCGCGGGGGTGGCGGCGGGAGCGACGACGGTTGCTAGGGAGGGGGAAGGGGACGAACGAGCGGGGCCGGGCCGACCTGCGCAGGCGCCGACTCCGGGTCGGCTCTGAGGAGCGGCTCGTCTCGCGTAAAGGACGCTGACTCCGCCTAGTTTGCGTCACGGGGCGGAGCCAGGGCAAAGGGCGGGGCGAGACACAAAGGGGGCTGTGAGGGAGGGCCGAAAGCAGTTCCGCTGAATCGCAACAGGGAAGTCCGCCTTATGTCGAAAGAGCGGAGGCCCTCTGGCTGGCCCGCGTGCTCTGAGCCCCTGCCGCCAGTCTGGCCGGAGCTGGCGGCGCCCCTCGCGCTTCCTCATTTTTTTGTTGACTGCTCAGAAGCAGCCGGCTTCCCCTGCAGTGCCCTGACCACATTCCCGCAGATGAAGCAAAGGCCAGGGCTGGGGAGGGGCGGGGTGCGACCCAGCAGCAACCTGTCAACACGTCCAGGCTGTGCGAGGGAACTAAGACAGGCCCCAGGGGTGCCCTTCGGGGAGATGTGGGCTGCTTTTCAGCCAGAAAGCAGCCGTTCCCGCTCCAACTTTAAAACCGAAGTGTGAGGCATGCACTCCGTGACATTTAGGGATCCTTAAGAGGAGCTAGTAACTAGAGAGGGACACCACACGCGTCCACCCACACAGCAAGGCTGGTTTTATAACCAACATGCAATTTCTCCATCAGTGTCACTATTGTTCCATTCGCATTAGTCACCCTGGGTGGCTGTACCTTCGATGCTGCCACTGCACAGGATATTTTTGGAACTGTTTTGGAATTTCCTTCAGGGCCAGTCTACCAACCTCACAAGAAAATCATTCATGACTTGGGTCACACCTTTTCAACTCAAACCATCATTTTCCTGCTTGCTCACCCTTGCTGCACACTAGGCAGCTTGGACTGACTTTTGCCTGTTTGTAATGTCACATCCACCTTCAAAAGTTGTTTTCAGAAAGAGATGACCCAGGGATAATGAGCCTACTGATGGGAGGAAACTGTAGCATCTGGGAAATGGTCTTGCCCAAAACTGACCTGATCTGATAAGCCTCTAGCTGTAACCACCAATTTACAGGAAACAGAGAACAGAGGAACATGCCAAATGATACCATGACAAACAACCAGCCAGGGATGGACCGTGGGAAACTGTACATGACAAACATATTCTTTAGCAAACAAACTCTAGCGAAAAAAGAGGGTAAGGACCAACCTGTAGATGAAAAGACACTGGGAAATTCATTGAGCCCTACGCTTAGGACTCATATGCTTTCTTCTCTATGTGCTATAGTTCAGGTAAAATTTTAAAGAAAAACAGACCTGAGACATCAAGCCATTAGAATAAGTGAAGTCTATTTCCACATGGATGTTAACAAATGAAATAGTTAAAAAACGTGAAACAGGGAAGTGTAAAGGCTATTTGATCATATACTAATATTAAGAGATTATTAATTTCCAGGTGGGGAAATGGTATTATGGTTAATATTTTTTAAAGAAGCCTATATTTTGGGAAAGCTGAAATATTTCTGAGGGAGAAGATGTGATCTCTGGGATCAGTTTCAAGGTGACCCAGATGGAGAAAGGAAGAAGAAAGGGTCTGGATGAAATAAGACTTGTCCAAAATTGGTCATTGTGCATCGTATTATTCTGTCCACTTTCGTATGTGTTTGAAATTATACATAATAAGGCAATTTTCACAGAAAGGTGGTTTGTCACCACTGGGGACAGGAAATCAAGGCATAATGACAAAAGAGGTTTTCGAAAATGTCTCAAGCAATAGCCGTATCGTTGAGACACACGGACAGAGTTCCAAGGTGACTAATCTGAAGGACACAGCACTTGTTTCAATGTGTAGGTTAGGGTGTGTTTGATTGTTTTTAAAAACAGTCATCAGGCAGGTGCCCAAAATCTGAGCACCAAACCACAGAGTTAAAGGGCAGGATCCGGCCTGCGCCCTTCCCACAGGGAGCTCTGAGCGCATGTCAGACACTTTGACGCAGAACGATGAGTGCGGTGTAGCGGGGACGTGGGGAGTGTCCTGGATCAGGTTTGGCTGCCAGTGACCAAAACCCCAAAGGAAAAGCATCGAGACGAGACAGAAAGGTGTGTCCCTCTCGTGTGGACAAAGTCCAGGGCTGGTACGGTGCCTCTATGATCGCTGTCAACTGCCAGCTCCCCCCAAAAGACCGCCAGAAAAACCTGCCAGTGAACCAAAGCTAAGGCGATGGAACCAGCTGCCGCCCGGTGTCGGGGGAGGGGGAGTTGGATTGGGGAGTGGGGCGGGGTCTCAGCTCAGGTGTTCTCGGCGAGTCTCTCCAGGCTGGAAGGACCAGGCCAAGTTTGCAATGTAGTAGTTTAGGCCTGGTGGACACAAGTCTTGGATATTTGAGCCTTGACGAGTAAGCCGTTATTTGATATATGGGCTGTTGGCGCCCGAGTGAGCTGTCTATCATCCTGAGAAGGGGGCTGCTTGCCAAGATGAGCCAGAAATTATTTTTCATGATTTCCTGAAGCAAACAGCGAAGTTGTGTACAGGTTTACAGCCTTGTCTTCCTGAAGGAGGCTTTCCCAGGTAAATAATAAGTGGCGCGAACGTAGAGGGTCTCAGATCTCAGCCCTGCTGGTTAAGGCCTGCGGTGCAGGTGGCCTCCCGTTGCAGCAGCAGCAGCAGCAGCGCGAGGCCACCCCCCGACCCCCACTCTTGCGGCTCGGCCGTTATCGTCATGCTGTCCGCCTCCAGCCAGCAAGTCGGGGGGAAGTGGGAAGAGGATCAGACGTCCTTCCTCAAACGCCGCTTCTGTGGAAGCGGAGTGTGCGTGTGCACGCAGCGGCGTGCGTGTGACAGTCAGAGCAACGGACCGGCAGGGCTCCCGCAGGGAGAGCGCTGCCCTGTCTTCGATGGCATGCCTGCTCCCTTCTTCAGACAGACTCTCCCCAAGGTCCTGCTGGGGGAGGATCCCGAAACCTTGAGCCCCGAGCTCGGTGAGCGTTTTTATTCGTAAGCGCCTCACCTGTCTGTTGTTGCCTTTCTCCTGGTGGACGGAAGCCGTGATAGGTTCTCCGTGAAAGCCACACTTATCAGGTGCCTTGAGTTGGAGACCGCGGATTTGCAAGTCCTGGCACCCACAGCAAGATGCCCTGGTTCCTCGGGCTGCGGGCCAAGGCCCCGCCGGGAGCCCGAGTCCGAAGCTGCCGCCCCACGTGTCCGCTCGCCTCTGCCTGGGCCCTGGCCTTGGGGCCTGCTCTGTCTTCCCCAATAGCGTTCACCTGAGCTGGGGATGCCATTCCTGGTCCTTCCGGCCACACTTCCTCCATTGCGCTTGGTGCCATATTAAGAGTCATTGCAAGGAAAGCGTGGGAAGTTGGTGACATCAAGAGGATTGGGGGTATGGATTAAGGGGACAGTCATTGCAGGAAAGACATTGGGAGGCAAGTGACAGTCTTAGCTAACATTTCAACCTGCAGAGCCTGACCTCTTTCCCCCGAAAAGCAAAAGAAACAGCAGGTAAGCCTGAGTGACCCCTTTGAAACTCACTAAGCCTCAGGGCGAGGTACAGTGTCTGGGTCGTGCCATGAGACCCAGTGGCACCTACTTCTTATCCTCCGGTGTCCCTACCTACCCTGACAGTTGGGTTGCACAGTTTGGTCAGTCACGGATGTGTCAGATCACCTTCGCAGTAGAAGAGGCTACATTCTCATTTGGTGGTAAAGGGTAAAAGACAGCCTTACAAGACATGACAGATTCTCCTGACATGGGCCACCCAGCACCATTTCCAGCCGGGAAAGGAGGAGAACGTAGGTTACCCTTCAGCACGCGTTCCTCGCGGGCTCTGGCCCCGCCGCCTGCTGGCCCGGGGCCGATGCCGCTGCCTCGTCCCACACTGGGAAATCATTGGCCGCAAAGCCAGGTCTGCAGAAGCCATCATCCAGGCTTCCACATTCCTGAAATATTTCGTTCCAGTCTGGAGAGGCAAAGCTCCCGTATCTGAATCGGTTTCCTGCCTAAAGGTCTTCCCTCTTCCTGGCCCTGTCCACCCTGACAGCAGGGTTCTCTTTCAAAAACTCAAACCCGAACTCGCTCCTTCGCTCAAAAGCCACACTGACAGTGGAAACAAACCTCGGCGTCTGAGCCTGCCTTCCAGGCTCTTCCTCAAGTCTTGCTCCCAGCTCTCCTTTGCCCAGAATGATTTTATTGTCATCTCCACTTTATCTGTCCACTTACTCATTCTTTTGTTAGCTCAGCAAACATTCATTCAGCCTCTTGATTTACTCAGACACCATAATTAAGGACAGGAGTGTGGGAAGAAACACTGCATAAAAGCAGGTTTTCCTTCCAGGTGCCCGGCCTTCTGCACAGCTCGGTACACAGGGCCCACGCAGCCGTTGAGTTCTGTGCCCCTCCCTGCCGCCCCCAGCCCTTCCTTCACCGCCTCCTTTCCAGTGCGCCTGGGCCCTGGGTGCTTCCACTGGGAGGCATCTTCTGAAGTGAGATTGTAAAAGGACCAGCTCTGTCTCTCCCGTTGGATTGTATATTGCTTGGGTCCTGGGCTGCACCCATTCATTGTCTTCTACGTATCGCAGCCCTTGGCGTTTTCTAGAACCCTGTTAAACGCTGAATGTTGGTGAGAGCCTTCGATTAGGCCTTTATTCTGAGTGCACTGAACATGTTTCTCCATCCCCTGGACCGAGCTGACGCATCCTTGGAAGTGACGCTCCCACCCCCTCCGTCCTGTCCCCGGTGCCGCCAAGCGAGGACATGGAGCCCGGGGGAGCAGCCAGGACTAAGAGGAGATTGCTGCCGCGTGCCCTGGGAAGCCCAGCACGCATCCCATGGGGTCCAGCACGGCCGAGGACAACGTGAGGCCTTTCAGCTT